GTATAATGGCGATAAAATGCCACGTGCATGCAACCAAATGGAGCATTCTTCTTGTGTCAAAAATAACTGATTTGCTCATCAAATATAATTTTCGTAATATTTCTGTTAATTACAACATGGATATCTATCTCATTTTTACATGAAATTTCATTTTCACCTGAAATTCCAACTTTTACTAAAACTTTCTATCTGTCACCTATTCATCAATGTGTACACATCATATCGACATGTCAAAAAACCCGACCTGAATGTGCATAGAACAAAACTGCATAGGATTTTCTGCTGCAGAAGCAGCAGAGCATCCTCTCTCTCTATGAATAATTATTCAGCTGTCATTAAGTTGAGGTCAGTTCAAGTTTGTTGCTCTTTAAATTATTCGAGCCATATCGGTCAACTGATCAAGATCATACCATTAAGCTTCATCTTTAAGCTTCGATAAAAAGAAAATATTTTGTCCAAATTCAGCATCAGCAAATGTACATACTAGCAAGTGCAAAAGGTACACAAATATTAGATACAAACACATCATCACTGACGAGATCACTCGGTATCACAAATGATAACAGAACAATATCACGAACAAGCAAGTCATTAGACTATGGACATCAACAAATGAACTTCGAGCAGAGGAAACCACTGGAATCGCTTCTGTTCTTGTTGGGATAGATTCCGTCGTCGGAATGGCTTCGCTTTGAGATGGCGTAGTAGAAGGTCGTTGCGGTATCTTATAGGCTTGAATCTCCGCACACGCAACTGGCCACCTGAAGTGTACGACGTGAATCCACTTAACATACAAGATCACTTATTCGTAAGGGATATTTGAGAGAGATTTTTCTCATTGAAAGTGAATGATTAAGAAAAGGGTTTGAGTATCTTGAGGCCAGTTATACGTCTTTGACTTTATCATCGCTGTCATAACTTGAACAGTTCGGTATATTCAGCTTAAGTTAGAAGTCCGTTCACGTTTGTATCTTCGCTAAAAAGAGATATCAGCAAATGAAGAACAACTGAAATATCGTAAGCGTGTTTACGAACAGATGGCCATCAAATAATCGTTAACGAATGGCTGCACTGATGATTGATAATGAAATGATAATAATGATAACAATGACAGTGAATGGATAAGGGAAAGACCTTGAAATGGCACCAGTGCCAAGTGCCATTGACTGCATTGAATTGAACGATTTTCGGGTCAAGTCAATAACCAAATTCGACGTCTCGTGCCCGCAGTGATGAGCTATCGCTGGCACGTCGCAGTGTAACGCGCAAATCACGTATCTTAAAGATTGAATGACGAACATTTTCTAATTTCCAATCGTCATGTTGTATAAAATAACAATTATTTTGAGAGCTTGTTTTGTTCAAATGGAATGCTTTCTTAATTTATGCAAAAATATAATCCCGTGCTGCATAACGGTAAGGAAAATATCTATAATAATCTTGAAATAGATAAGAATAGAATGCTAGGGAAAATGGACATAAGTCGAGGTGAAACGAACTCGCAGGACTCATTCAAATATTTTTCAGCACTTGATGAATCTCCATTAAGCGCTAGATATTTGAAATTATTCATGATCGAATTGACAGCTTTATGGTGTGGTACGCATATATTAAGGCACTGTTTTGATACATCGCTGTCCAGTTTTGATAGACATCCGAATCGTTCATGAATCGCTGCAAATAGGCACTGATGAGACACACTCGACTGTAGTAGTCATAATCATTGCTATTGATATTTTATTACTGCAGATATCATCACTACCATTATCATGATACCATGAGCAGATAATTATTTACAAGCTGAATCATAGCCTGTTCCAGGCTTAGTAACATTAATGATACTGGTATACCGTTAGAACACCTGTCAGTAACTAATAAAATAATGACAACAATACCTTTGTAGTTGTAAACGCAGAAATGGTCAATAATTGCAGCACTTTTTGACAGTAATTCGTGCATGAAACTGTACGAACAGCGACTGTAACAGTACTCGAAATTGTGATAATGCCTGCAGTATTCAGCACATTAGCTAACTGAAAATTGTTACGATGCATCACCAAATGGCCTATCCACCTTGATTATTTGGAACGCAATCCAATAGCCATCTAAGAACCTTACCACTTCATTTATTTCGCAATACAGTACCACTCCTTCAATACTGACATGACAATAGCTGTCATATTAAAAAAATTTCTATCTAATTGCAAATGGAAAGTGATCTATATCGACACATCATGAAACAGCACAAAGCTATTGTAAAATCTCTGAACTAACTTGCAGAATGCTTCAAAGAAAGTTATGTTCGAGAATGCGATTAAAAATTCGTTAAAATTCAAATCCAATAATCCCAACACACTCCGATCACCAAGTTCCATTTTCAGTTGATCAACAAACTGGAAAGCGCATTGCCCAACGCAGTTATCATCTGATTCGCTACCTTCAGCACTGTAAATTGTTTCGCAAATTACTTTCGCAATATTACACCACATTATATGATCAGGCAAGATATCATACAAAATATGCGGTCAGACCGCAAACCATGCGATTGAATGCGATTCTTTTCAACCGATCACCATGCCTAACTGTCAGAATGCTTTAAAAATGAGAGGAGAATCGCTCTGCATTCAACTAACCTAGATGAATCTCGAAGACTGCTGTCAAGTTCCACGTTATGTTTCAGCACTTTCAAAGCTTCCACTTCTTGTCTGTTCAGCGAAATACAACAGAACCAAATAAAAATGAGATATCTCGTTGAATCTACCATCAGAATACTTCCAGTCAACATGCTAAAACTTTGCACCACACTGATAATACTTTCGAAAGTTCTTCTGAACTCGATGAATCGCGGTTCTCAACACAATATGCTTATCTGCCATATTTCAAGGCTGACTTCCTTCTATTATATCGATAATACGCAATCAATGACAAAATATTTAATGACTTCATGGCGTTCGAAATGTTGTTGGAAATTAGGCTCACTAACTAAAAAATTAATGATTCGGTTCTGGTGTGGTAACTTGTCAAGAAGCAATGATTCGAACGATTATAAAATTTTGAATGATCATAGAGGTCAGTCAATTCTCGCAATTTCCACATTAAGAATGTTCATCAGCAGTGAAATGAACGAGCTAATTTCTTAGCGTTGCATAATGATTCAGTGATAGTTTTCAATAATAGACAATCATCACAATCAAATGCTAGAGCATATTTGTGTGCGATATGAAACAGATAGATAAACAACACGAACAATAACTGACCATCACTGATAGTCATTCCAATAAATGGATTATGATTTTGTGATATCAAACGCATTCACGTTTTTACATTTCATCATCACGTTTTCATTCAAAAAAGCAAAACAACAATTCAATCCAACAATGAATATGAACATAAAAAACTCATAAACCACATGCAATTTCAGTATAATCATTTATATCATCGAAGAGAATGGAAATGCAATCGTGAAAGCCTACAAGATATCAATCACCTTCAGTTGTGCTGCAATTCATTTATCTTCTTGACACGAGCTTGCGCAATCATCAAATCAATCAGTCAACTTCAATTCAACTGATTCAAATCAAAATCGCTGAAGAAAACTTCAAGCGTGTTCACTAAACGCAAACCATGCACACAAATTAGTCATATCCATCAACATTTTCGGCTCTCAGATCATCTACAAAACTTGACTTGATCAAGAACCTGTTTAAAGTGATTGCTTTTATCGAATTGCATAAATGAATTATTGCATTCATCTAATATTTCAGGCTAAAATAATCAGTTCAGCACATGAAAATTTCGCCCACTCACAACCCTCCAAACGTTTTAAACTTCTGTCTCATTGTTTTCAAAAACGTTCTGCATCATTTGATGTAATGATAAATCCGGCACAGTCATACAGTACCAATGTTACGGTCCAATAATAGACATTTATCATTCTTGTTTTATAATCCCCAAAATATTCAATACTGATGCGACAAATCCAGATGAACAAGAATTAAAATTTTCAGGAATTCCTAAGGCCAATTAACCTAATTTTATGATCTTTGCGAGCTCTCCAATTGTTCATTGGGTGTTTCATTGTCAACAAAGAGCCAACCGCATTTCCACAATATATGTTTCGTTTGTATTGAACAAATCCTGTTTCCTTTCAATTCTTTCTCAATTTCTTCTCATATACGAGCTTTTGCACTTTTTTGACACATTAGGTTTCGGTCAACGATGCCATGTGCACATAACGAGAAAAAACATTGTAGAAGCCGAAGAAACAAGTTCAGTGAATCATTACTATTGGTAGTGGACTTATCGTGATATGAACGATCGCAAAATCGAGTTTAAGCAATCGTTTCGATGATTTCAAATCATCTCACTGAAAAACAAGCGATAGTCCAAATCTTCTTTTGGATCAACAAACCAACAACATGTTCTATTAAGTGTTGAAGGAACACTGATGAATGATTCCAATACATATCGCTACTCTTCATTTCGTCTTGACTGAAATGCTGCATTGTTTCAAGCATGACACGTGATATTTGTATGATTCTGACGAATTATGTTTTGTTGAGCAAATCGAACAACCGATTGCTACAGACACTACTTAGATGGAGCAGTCTCATTGTTGTTCATCTCATAAGACAATAACAAATACTCCAGAAATTTGAACCAGTAAAGATTACCAGTAACAATTGTCATCATGATAGTATCTTCGATGAACGTTCGTTCAAAAATTCATATGTCTCCGCAGCAAGTATTATGAAGGTGCATGTTGTAATTCAATTTTTATTCGTTAACCATCACACTAATTCACTTCGTCACTTTACCCACAATAGTTGCATATGTTTGATATGTACAAATGTTCTAAGGTTCTTTGAATTGTACTCATCAGCTTAACTCTTTTCAATTGTTACTATTAGTTTGTCAAATCGTCTTGAACTGGCGAAGTGCTTTGACGAGCATTTGGCGGATCGTCACATCGTACGATTGTAGAAACTTAAAGGAAAATCAGAATAAATGGTAATTATTCGGTAAAATGGCTGATAAGGTTGGTTTTTATGCGGATTATTCGTTTGCAAGTAAATTTGGAATATCCAG